TTATTTTTATTATTTTGCTGATTATTATTATAATTTCAGTGATGATTATGCCCATTCTGATTGCGCTGATTATTATTATGATGTTTTTTTTTTGGAGATTACTATTATTAATATTTAAGCGATGGTTATTGTTTTTTTGATTACGCTGATTCTTATTATGTTGTTTTTTTTTTTACTTTTATTATGCTGCTGCTGATCATTATTATTATTTAAATAATGATTATTTTTATTCTGATAACGCTGATTTTTTTTTTTTTTTTTGTTGATGTTTATTATTATTATTGTGCTGATTATTATTATTTTTATTATTTAAGTGGTGATTTTTCTTTTTCAGATTATGCTGATTTTTATTATCATGTTTTTTTTTTTTTTTTTTTTTAACGCTTATTATGCTGCTGCTGCTGATCATTATTATTATTTAAGTGATGTATATTCTTTTTCTGATAACGCTGATTCTTATTATGTTTTTTTTGTTGATTATTATTATTATTGTGCTGATTATTATTATTATTATTATTATTTAAATGATGATTATTCTTATTCAGATTATGCTGATTTTTATTATCTTGCTGTTCCGGCAACCGTTGTTTTGTCATATAAATTATTTCTAGGGAATCTGTAGTCTAGAAAAATAATAACTAACTTATTTTAAGTGTTTAAGGATGTGGTAAATTAGTAAAATAGGCATGGAGCGCTGTGAACGATGAGGGAATATAAAAATAACAAAAGGCAAACATTATTTTTAAGTTATTATAATTTATTCCTTAAAAATATCAATCTTTTAATGCTATAGCATGAACAATATTTTTTGTTAGTCCATCTTTAGCTAACACAAACAAACTGGATGGTTTACCCACTCGAGAGCATGTCACGTATGTCCGTAATTGTCCGTGTGAAAAACATGGTGTTTTCAAATCTAAGCCACAAATAAACATCGTTTGACCTTGGGATTTGTTGATTGTCATTGCAAATGCCAATCTAATCGGAAACTGAATACGTTTGAATTGAATTGGCACATTTGTAGATATAATAGGAATCCGTGGTATTAATATATTTTCACCTTGGAACTTGCCATTTAAAATGCTGGCTTCGATCACGTTTTTCATTAATTTTTGAATGACTAATCGCGTACCGTTGTACAGCCGGGGTGGGTTCAAATTACGAAGCAAGATAATCGCAGATCCAACCTTTAATTGTAAATTATGCGGTGGCATGCCTGGTAAATCCAGTGAGTTCAAAAACTCTGTGGGAAAATTTACTGCTTCGCTGTCGTCGCAAACTGTATCAATAGATTTATATGATACCAAGTTCCCTGGCAACAACATTTGTATCTTCAGATTTAAATTGTCAACGTCTACATTTTTTGCCGCTAAAATTGCTCTTTCTGCAAGCCACTCATGATTTATGTACTGTGTGTGTACATCGGGAAATATTTGTTCAATGAGAGTATCTTGCGAATCAGTGATTGTGCAGAAATCGGTCGGTAATAATCCTTTGAGCTAACGTTCTTGTTTGTTTCAGCTCCTGTAATAATATATTCATAAAAATTAATTTAAATTAATTACGTTCAATAATTTAATTGTTTTGTTAAATGATTAATGATCAAATTCATAATCAATGAAGTACCTGATACGGGATCTCGTTGTTTTATGTTTATGCAATATCCGTCTTGTCCCTTCCAGAATATTAGCGGATATTGGAGAGCGTCATATGAACGATGTGTATCAGCAATGAACTGAAGATTATTATTTCTTCTACGAATCACAATTTCTCGTGCACCTGTACGATCGCCAACCATGATTCCAGCAACATCATCAACAACGGGTGCATTGAATCTACGAATATGCTCTCCAGCTGGTGTTTTATCAGGATTAATGACGATAACGTGATTATCGCTTTGTAATTTGTGCATGTGTGATTTGAATATTTTCAACAATTCGTTGTGCTCATTCAATAGAGCATCCAGCTCGCTGACGATGCGTCTGGCATGAAATGAATCAAGGTTATTATAATCACAACGTGCATTCACGCGATTGGCAAGTGCGCTTCCGGAATCCTCGCCGCCCATGAAGTAGATTTGTAAACATTTATGTGGTTCGTTCGGCATTGGCAGCAGTGAGCCCATTTTATGATAAACTTGGCCTCTGATTTTGAATGTAGAATTGTATTGTTGACCATTTGCATTAGTATTTCGAACTATTTCTGTTGCTCCGAACGATGTCATTTGAAAGCATGAATTGAATGTTCGAATTGACTTCAGGAACACGTTAGAATCTGGATCCGTGCCGATAAGTAAACCGTTCAATGGTTCAGATAGTGTTTCAATTTCAGGTAGTTGCACTTTTCCTGACGCGCAACACATCCCAGCTGGCTCATTTTTGAATTTCAGAGCATGAAAATGCGGACATTCCTTGTCCATAGCACCAATTACCACTTTTGAATGAGCATAATAATCAATATCGGGCTCATACTGGAATGCTAGACGCAGGAATGAATCAGATGTAAATGCTCGATGTACCTGTTGTCGTTGTTGGTCATTTGTTCTGCGTCTATTGACTGTGAAACGGCGTGATTGTCGTTGTTCTAATCTTATTACTTCATTGCGTTCAGCTCGTGTGTCTTCTGACTCTTCTTGACGCAATTGCGCCATTCTGACACGTGCATCAGTATTTTGTTGCTGGATTTGTTCTTCGGTTATTTCGGATCTTCTATTTCGCAAGCTTCGAGATTTACTTGTATTACGGTTCAAATCAGCCCCTTTGCGTTTTGTTGGCATTGAAATATGTGCAAAACACACGTACATAGGTTAGGTTAGGTTAGCAAAATTAGCCAAATCGGACCAGCCGTTCTCAATTGTTATTGGCACACCGGTGCCACGGAAACCAATAATAAAAAATAACCACATAGAGTGTATATTATCTCTCCATGGCAAAATAATAATTGTTGAATATCGTGCGTGCTAGTATACTTTAACTTAAGAGGCCATAACTCCGGAACCATTTATCGCAGAGCATACAAACTTAGATAGTAGCCGATTCTCAGACCTACTGAATATGCATATAAAATTTCATGAGAATCGATCAAGCCGTCTCGGAGGAGTATGGGAACGAACATTGTGACACGATAATTTTATATATAAGATATATGTGTGTGTGTGTGTCATATTATGGTAAAATAATGGTTTTTTTCTACATTTTTAATAATAATTTAATGGAAATACAATCGTAGTCTGGCGAATGAAATCATCTGGAGCTTAATATGGTGAAAAATATTGTAAAGTGCTACTATAATAACCAAAATAATTGATCAGGATTTTCAGTATGTTAAAACCCAGCCATCTTTTACTTTTGTCTGTTGAATCCTCCACTAAATATGAATGATTCGATAAAAAAAAAAAAGAGATTGAAGACCCTAGACTAAGTACAAGCATACACAATCATATAAATATCAAGCATCTATATCGACTATTAAAATTTAAAATTTAATTTTTATTTTATAATTTGTTAAAATTTAAACAATTTAGTCGGTTTTATTAGATTTCTAATTTAATTTGTAAATTTTACTGTCCGTCCCGTATTTAATTTTAGCATTAATTTAATACCAGATTACGGGAAAAATTACTACATTCATTAACTAGCTTAGTTACTACACTATTACTACACTCTATTATCAAAGTTGAAACAAAATGTTGGTTCCCCAATGATCAGTTTATCATTTATTAAATTTATTAGCTTTTAAATAGGTATAAATAGATGCCATCCTAAAACTTCATTGACACGACAAATTAATTCAAAATAAGTTGTCGATATGACCCCGAACGCATTCAGGCTATAAAAAAGGTAAAAATTAAAAACGTGTCGTACTCAGGATATCCTCAAATTATGACAACCCTATAGTTTATTTAAAGACGTATACCGGGATAATAATATAGGTATAATACCTACTTCATAATACATCGAGTATAAATCAATTTTATATTTCCATTTTAGATTATTATTATTTTTATTTTTTTTATAAAAAACTAAACATTGCAATGTAAACTATGATCGCTATAACTACTACAAAATATTACATCGCAGTCACAGTAAAATACTATCTGGAATACTGTTTACATATATAATACCTATTCAGCAAATATTAAAATAAAAACTCACAGTTATATCGACATTGTCGATAAAACTATAACGAGTCTTCTGGTACTTCTGTAATACTATGAGTATAGTCGAAAATATACGAGTTTAATAAAACACGTTGTTTTTAAGGGCACTCGTTTAGACAGGAATATTTTGGATTCTATTAAATTATCGTATTAGTTTTTATGATTATCTTAAAGAAATTCCATCACACACCTGTAAATATTACAATCGTATTAACAATAAATTCACAACATAAACGTGACTCAAGAGTTTAAAGGATAATAATTGAACAACAAAACGAATAAATTTAATCATTTATTACGTTTGTTTAATAATTTTAATATTTTATGCATAATATGTCGTTTTTTTATTTTTTTTATAGTTCAATTGTAAATAACGTGTACTTATGTTTTATTGACTTTTCTCAGAAAAATTAAAATCCGTTGAATTTAAATAAAATATTATATAAATTTTGAATGAAACAACTGCTCTAACAGTTTTATTATTTAGATACCATTGATAGAATTTAAATTGAATGCGTTTTATACAAGGACAATTCCTTTTTTCTTTTTTTTTCGATTTAAATATCTCTGCTGTTTTCGGTCCATTTAGTTGTGTCCACGAGTCCTATAGACTTACAATGTAATTTTTAAATTTTCATTTGCAATCGTCATTTTAAAATAATATTACTCTTTAAATGTAATTGTGTGCATACTCAATATGTCCGTAAAGTCATATCCATTGTCTTTAGATTGACATTAATAACGAAAATTAATAAATAATTATATTTTAACTAAGAAAAGTTTGATTTGTATTTTAAATTTGTTTTGACGAAAATGCATCGAATTATGGCATTTTAAAATCAAAACTGTATAAGTAGTGGCTTTATCGCCAAAAATAAAGGTAAAGTAAAATTTTAGAATTTCGGATAAACGTTAATACTTTCCAAGACAACAAATGTACCTACTACCTAATAAAAAAAAGAACACAACATCTACCTGCTTACTAAACTGTAAATTGTACAGTGGTTTGAGATGACCTTAAAAAGATCAAATTCCTAACACAAATTAAAAACATTGATGAAAATATTTATATAAATTCCACTTTTGTAAAATTAAAGCGTTTGTTAAATTTGTTTAAAAAAATACCAACAAAAACTCCAATGTAAGTATTTATTATAATATATTAACAGTTGTATGTTTATTAATTAATCCACGAAATTGTTAAAGTTTTTATTTGAATTCATGTAACATATTATTATATAGGTACGTTAAATAAATAAAATATTAAAAAATGATTGAAAACAATTTTAAAAATGCGGACATACTACTCACTATTGGTAGACTGTTATGCACTGTCCGACTATCGTATGTAGGAAGTTTAAAAAGTATATAAAATACAAGGTAATTTATTTTATATGCTAAAAATTGTTATAAATCATTGCAGTAAAAAAAAAAGATTCTCAGTCAATCTCAGTTAACTGGTAAGTTGAATTGGATTTCTCACTTGTAGATGACTTGTTTTTACCTCGTGGTAACATTATTATAATAGAAATCTTGCTTCAATCAAAAAATCACAAGAACCCTTTTTTGTTATATTTGATGTATTTGGGAGGTGATCTGTTTTTTCCCCGAAAGGTTTTCATAATAATTATGCAAAACTGTGAAAAAACGTAAGAAGAACGAAATGGTTTACGGAAATAATGGTTTCATATTTTCAATTTTAGATTCAAATTCGGAGATTATTGATTTGTATTGGTTGGCTTTGTTTTTTTTTTTGTTGTTATTTAGTTACAAAAATTCGTATGGAATTAAAATTTTGACAGAAAACTTATATTAGCTTTTTCTAAACGTGTAAAATTGTAAACATTTTTTTAAAAATATATTTTACCTGATTATAGATAGGCATTTTACATTTCTAGTAATTGTACGTAAGTAGTTTTTATTTTATAGGTCAGTGTATATTGCATCTATGAAATAAATGGTTTGATTAAATAAAAATGCTTAACAATTTTTGATTCGATGTTTACTGTAGGTTGTACATAGTGGTAAAAAAATTAAACGTCACGCTTACCTTTTTTTGGATCGTTTTAAGATCAAATATTAACAAAAGTCGCAAAACATTACGGTATTTCAAAACATGTATAACTGAACTTCGCATAGAATCATATTTCGTTAGTAATTGTTTATCGTTGCTTATAGATATAAATTAAATAACTTTATGTATTCTACCTTACCAACTTCCCACCTACAATAGTGACGCACCTATCAGCAGTATCAACTCTTTTTTAAATTGTTTTGTATAACCTGTTAGGAATCTAGAATTTTTTACTAAATAAAATATCATTAGAAGAAAAATCCGAATCTTTAAAAGGTACGATGTGAATAATTTGGAGCATTTTTACTAACCTAGAAAAAAAGGTACACGACTTAGTAAAATTAACAGCTTATATTCTTCATTACACTCAAAATTTAAAATGTACAATTTATTTCTCGTATTTGTTTGAACTCTGGTATAATGAGTTGTATACAGTAAATATGAAAAAACCGCCTTATAAAAAAAAAAAACAAAAATAGTAAAGATTAATAATTTAATTACGAAACTTTGAATGAGTGTTAATAACCGTTAAACTCGCGAAGAGGCTTTGCCGAATAATAAAATGAGTTTTAAAAAACAAGGGGTTGGCGATGAAACAACTGATTTTTACGTGTACTTATACACTTTTTAGATTAATTTAAACATCTTAGCAAGTTTTTGTTGGATGGACGTGTCAAACAACTGCGCGACTACAGCGTGGCTGACAGTAAATTTAATTAAAATAATTCTAACAAGACCCATGGAACAATTACACGCACAGTAACATATTATGTCGGGTCGTATTATACATCAGAATTTATTTTTACCTATACTTTTCTGCACGAAGTAATTTTAAAAATAAAATAAATAATAAAAAACCCTACCAGGAAATCGCCACTGAACCTAAACGAAATTTTAACAAGACGGACATGTATGTCTATCTTACACGTCCAGGACCGGATTTCCCACAAGACATTATAGGCAGTTACATAGATGACAAATGTTTCAAAAGCGCCACATATTTTTGTCCTCAATCTCAATCCAAGCGTTAACACTTTTTCTTTTAATCACAATAATGATTTATTATTATTATTGTGGTATTGTAAATGGTTTTACATTTACTGGATAATTCTATTTTATCCATGTCTAACTTCTAGTAAACGTGGCCGATGAACTATTAGTTAAATAAATAATATTACACAAAACAAATTATTACTTGGTAGGAATTTTCACATGGCCTTGGAGAAAAAATCTGTAAGTCTTAAAAGTTTTAAAGAGTTTATTTATCAAAATTTGACAATCGGGCCATGCGCCTCGAAAAATCCAGATTCACTTTCCCTTCATCTCCAGGCCTCCAGTTTCCACGAAAAACTATGTTACTAGAGCGCAGATAAAATTATTGCTCTTAGACACAATGTTCCTTAATCCGACCTGGAAGTACTCCGCATCATGAGTGTGATGTGCCACTGTGTTACAATATCACGTCTATAGAAAGTGATGATATATAATTAGTATATTTGGTGTACATTTTCAACCTCTACGATTATTGCTAACTGAATTACAA